AACATACCGCTCCAGAAAAAAAAATATCCCCAACACAACTCAGAGACTCAATAGCTTTCGTGCTCAATTGGTTTAAGGATGTAATTACATTGGAGACAATTCAGAGAAGGTTCATTAGATTCATTCCAGAGATGAAAGGTTTGTCTTCTGAGAAGAGATGGAACAGTTTAGACCTATATTCTCTGGAGTTTAGAAGGATGAGATGAGATCTAATTGAGATATAAACGATGCTAATGAAGATTGATGAAGTAGATGCAGAGCAAATGTTCCCATTCAAGGCAGTCTAGAACAAGAGATCATACAGTCTTAGCCTGAGGGCTGGCAGATTTAAAAGAGAGATGAACAGGAACTTCTTCCCTCAAAGCATCATGAATCCGTGTGATTTGCTAACCCAGAGTGCGGTGGATGCTGGGACATTGAATAAATTTAAGGAGGAGACAGACCAATTTTTAATTAGTAATGGGCTGAAGTGTTCTGGGAAGTCGGCAGGAAAGTGGAGTTGCAGCCAAGATGAGATCACCTATGAACATACGAAAATGGTGGAGCAGGCTCAAGGGGCTACTCATGCTCCTAATTCTCATGTTCATACACAATCTATATACAGAATGAAGTCACCCATGATAGCTGCATTGCCCTGCTACATGCTTTGCTGATCTCCTAATTAATACTATGCCCTCACATAACCTCTACTATTTGGTATCATATAAATAACTCACATTGTTCTTCCAATCTGAGATCCTTTCTAACTAATATATTGATCCCATTTCTTATTGTCTGGGGTTGGTTAGCTCTTTTGCCTGGATAGTTGATTTATGATGTAGAGTAATGCCAGCAGCATGGGTCCAATTCCCACATTGGCTGAGATTGCCATAAATGACTATCCTTCTCAATCTCTCCCCCTGGTTTGAGGCGTGGTGGCCCTCAGGTTAAGCAACCAACAATGACCTCGCTTTAATGAGAGAGCAGCTCTATGGTCCTTTGTGACTTCCTTTTCATCAGAGCATCTCCATCTCCTTTAACTTCTGGTTTATACTTCCTAAACATTTACATCCTTGAATATTCAGTTCTCAGGCCATTTCTAGAATGGCATTTTTTTTTACTTCATGGGATGCAGCCGTTGTTAGCTAGACCAATGTATATTGCCCATCCCTAATTGCCCATTTATTGCCCATCCTTAACTGAGTCACCATGTCACCCATGCCACTCTCTCTCATTCTTCTAAACTCTAGTGAATGCCAGTCCAGTTGAATTAATCTCTCCATTTCACAGTCTTATTCTCCCTCGTATCAGCCTAGTGAATTTTCGCTGCACATCCTCTATAGAAAATATACCCCCTGTTAGGTAGGGAGTCTAAAACTGCAGGCAATATTCCAGGTGCAGTCTTACCAAGGCCCTGTATAACTGCAGTAAGACATCCCCACTTCTAAACTTGAATCCTCTGAAAACCATTTTCCTTCATAAATGTTTGCTGCATCTGCTTGTTTAGTTTCGTTGACAGAGGTAGAAGCACACCTCGATCCCTTTGTGCATCTACATTTTCCAATAAATCACCATTTGAATAATACTCTGCCTTTCTCTATTTCACAGTAAAGCTTTACTACAGTTGTGCAGGGCACTCATGAGACCACATCTACAATTTGATGTGCAGTTTTGTTCTCATTATATTAAAAGATGATAATAATTGCTTTGAAGCAATTTAAAGAAAGTTCACTCGGGTCCTACATTAATGAAGGGCTTATCTTATGAAGAAACATTGAGCAGGCCTATATCCAATGGCATTTAGAAGAATTGAGAGCTGTTCTTATTCACATTTATTAGATCCTGAGGAAATAGATAAAGTGGATATTAGGAGCATGTTTCACATCTTGGGGATGACTAAAACAACAGGGCATAACTATAGGAGAAGAGATTTCCCTTTTAAGATAAAAGAGGAGAATATTTTTCAGAGGGTTTTCAATGTACGGAATCCTGTTTTCTAGTAGGTAGTTGAGCCTGGATCTTTAACTTTATTGATGGCTGAGTTAGATAGTTTTTTTTGCCAGATAAGAGATTCAAGGGTTTTGGTGCAGACAAGACATAGAAAATGAGACCATTACCAGATCAGCCATGATCTTATTGAATGCTGAGGCAGGCTCAAAGCACCAATGGTCTACTCCTGATGTTTTCCTAAATTATTGAAATTCATCAGGGCCTAATTGCTGCTGTGTCTATTTGATGGTACCACCTTTTCATAGTTTGTTTCGTGGGACTCCTAACATGAAAATAGAATTTTCCCCACACTCTCATAGCCACCATGCCCACTTACTCCATAACTCCATATTTATTCACAGGATATGAACATCAGTGGCACAGATTGAATGCATTGCCCATCTTGAAAGTGGTGAGCTACCTAATTAAACAGTCCATCGGGTATAAGAGCACCTACATTGCTATTTAGGAGGGAATTTCAGGATTTTGTCCTGGTGACAATGAAAAAACAAAGAAATATTTCCAAATCAGGTGTTGTGTGATTTGAAGGAGAACTCTGATGTGGTGTTATTCCACTCTGCCTGCTGTTCTTGTATTTCTAAGTGGTAGAGGCTGTGGGCTTGTCAGATGACCTTGAAGAAAACTTGTTAAATTGTTGTAGTTCATCTTGTTGATTGTTAACAACATTGTTAATCTGTACCAGTGGTGAAAGTGGTAAATGCTTAACATGACGAGATCTACACATTCATTATGGAAGAGAAGCAAGACAAGATGGCCCATAACAGGCAGCAGAGGGCACAACCAATAGAATGGTGCCAGACATTTGGATCATCACTCCTTTTGAGCAGTAGGCCACAGTGCTGATTGCTGTTCCCCAATGTTACAAGAAGCCACTGAAGAAGTTAGCAGCCTACTGTTTGCAGCCAGTCTTCTTCTTAGACCATCCCTTATGGCCAAGGGTGACTTGTTTCCACACTAAATATGAGTTCTCAGGTGACTGAAGACTCTAATAAATAACCTACACTGGACAAAACAACCTGCTTGATTGACACCATAGCCACAAACATCCACTTCCTGCATTACCAATGCTTAGTAGCAGTTGCAATGTGTAACATCCCTATGATGCACTACAGAAATTCACCAAGACTTCTTAGGCAGCAACTTCCAAACCCATGATCTCTCCTATTTAGAAGGACTGGGGCCACCGACTCATGGCAACACCACAACCTACAAATTCCCCTCCAATTCACTCATCATTCTGACATGAAAATAAATTTCCGTTCCTTCAGTATCACTGGGTCAAAATCCTGAAACTCCCTCCCTAACAGCATTAATGGGTCTATCTTCAGCACACAGGCCGCAAAAGTTTAAGAAGGCAGCACAACACCACTTTCTCAAGGGCAACCAGGCATGGACAATAAATGTAGTCCTAGCTACTGACGTCCACATACCATGAGTGAATTAAAAAATCTCAGAACATTTAGAAATACATCATACGATCAAGCAGAGTCAGCATGGGTTCATGAAGGGGAAATCAAGCCTAAAAAATTTACTTGAATTCTTTTGAAGAGATGACAAGTAGAGTGACATAGGGGTGCAGATACATAGTTCCTTGAATGTGGCATCACAGGTAGCCAGGATGGAGAAGACATTTAGCACAATTGCCTTAATTGGTCAGAGTATTTTGTACAGGATTGGGACGTCACGTTACAGCTACACTAGACATTAGTGTGGTCGAATTTGGAATACCGCGTACAATACTGATTGCTCTGCCAGAGGAAAGATGTCATTAAACTGGTAAGGGTGCAAAGAAGATTTAAAAGGATGCTGCCATGACTGTAAGGTTTGAGTGATAATGACAGGCTGGATAGGCTGGGACGTTTTTCCCTCGAGCATGGGAGGCTGATAGGTGACCATACGGCGGGGCATTGATAAGATGAATTATCAGGGTCCTTTCCCCAGAGTTGGGGAGTCCAAAACTGGAGGGCATACATTGAGGATGAGAGGGGAAAGATTTAAAAGGGATCTGAGGGGAAATTCTTTACACAGAGACAGACAGTCATAGAGTTAAATAGCATGGGAAAAGACCCTTTCGTCCAAATAGTCCAAGCCAACCATATTCCCAAATTAAACTAATCCCACCTGCCTGAGTCTGGCATATATCCCTCCATTCTAGTTTTACAACTCAAACTCTCTTTTCCTGGCAAGATCTTGGTAAATCTTTTCTGAACCCTCTCCAGTTTAGTAATATCCTTCCCATAACAGGGCAACCAGAACCCGCACACAGTACTCCAGAAGAGGCCTCACCAAAGGTCTGAGCAATGAAGGCAGGCGCACCACGCTGCTGCCCCTGCTCCTGCACTGGGCTGCTGGTTGCAGGCTTCCTCGCTTTGGGCACACTGCTTGCTGGAGACCCTGCTCTGGGCACTCTGGTTATTGCCTTCTCCGCTTTAGGCCACTGTTCGTCGGCGTCACTGCTCTGGGCCACTGGTGGCCCCACTTGGGCACGCCGGTCGCTGACTTCCTTGCTTCAGGCTGTTGGTCGTTGGTGTCCCCGCTCCAGGTTGGTGGTCACTGGCTTCCCCGGTCTTGGCTGCCAATGCCGCTTTGGAGCCGAGTTGGAAGCCAGGGGTGGGTGTCTAAGGTCGAGAATCCAAGAAGACAGAAGAGGGGAAGAAAACCATAGAAGGGAGTAAAAAAGGGAGAAAAAAAGAAAAAGAACAGGCCAAGCGGATACTTCTGTAGTTTAAAGTATATTTTGCTTTCAGGACAAAGTGGCAGTTAGTCAGTACTTTTTTTAGTAATTTGATTCAGCATATATTTTTTAATGTGAAGTTTTGTATGTTATTCTCACAGATAATTGCAAATTCATGTATCTCTTTAATATATATCAGTATCCATGATGTTCTGAATATGCATGAATCAATATAATGAAGTTGTATTATATATTAGAATATAAATAGAAACTGTAATATACAACCTACATCAAATAAAATTTTCATGAAAACATAAATCTCCAAAACACAACTTACCTTCAAAAGATCATAATTAGATTTCAATGCATTTTCACACTTTAGCAAACGTTTGGCTATCTCGGGCACATCCAGACCCATTTTTATCATACATTTAGCTTCACGAATAAGCTCAATAATTCTGTGATCGAAGTTTGATTGCATTTTCCCAGTATCTGGATCACGTATCAGAAGAGTTGCATGCAGGCCTGTATAAAGTTCAATTTTGAAATATTCAGATAAACACAAGACTGAATGCTACAATAAAATGATTATGTTTCAATTCAGTTAATGTTATTATGCTTAAAAGAAAAGATTTGGTTTGTATTCGACAAAAAGTATCATTTCAGTACATTTAATTCTCCCGTACATTCCACTCCTGTACATCTCAGTTGCCCTCGTTTTTCAAGGACCGTAACTTCCCCCCCTCAGTGGTCGAGAATACCCTCAACCGTGTCTCCCACATCTCCCGCAACTCATCCCTCACACCCCGTCCATGCAATAAGAACCAAAAAAGAATCCCCCTCGTCCTCACGTACCACCCCACCAACCTCCGGATCCAACGCATCATCCTCCGACACTTCCGCCATCTGCAATCCGACCCCACCACCAAAGACATCTTTCCCTCCCCACCCTTATCTGCTTTCCGGAGGGACAACTCTCTCCGTGACTCCCTTGTCCGCTCCACACTCCCCTCCAGCTCCACCACACCCGGCACTTTTCCCTGCAACCGCAGGAAGTGCTACACCTGCCCCCATACCTCCTCCCTCACCCCCATCCCAGGCCCCAAGAAGACTTTCCACATCAAGCAGATGTTCACCTGCACATCTGCCAATGTGGTATACTGCATCCGCTGTACCCGGTGTGGCTTCCTCTACATCGGGGAAACCAAGCGGAGACTCGGGGACCGCTTTGCAGAACAC